GCATATTATGCTTTGATTGATTGAATGGCCGACTGGACCACCAGACACTTAGCATAGTAGGCTTTTATTATATAGGATATTTTTAAAAGGTAGACTTTTAATAACTGCTTTTATCAGCAGGTTAGTCATACAGTTACAATAGTCCATATATTTTTAAAAGTATGCAGTCAAAGATAATTTCCCCAATGTTAAGTTATGGATGTCACAGTATTTTTTAATATTTTATAGGTTTTAAACTGTTGAAATGACACAATATTGTGAGTGAACTTAATTCCTATAACTGGCAAGTTCAGTCAGAAATATTAAAATAATTATGTGGATTTTGAAAGTTGAAAATAATTGCACTTTTAAGACGTTAGGTTTTCCTTTTCTTTTAACATGAATTGTTCTTCCATTTATTTTTATAGGCAGTTTTAGTGACAAGCGGTTGTGATAAAGTTTAAATTGAGTAGATTACTGATACTTTCTGCTTACAGTCATGCAGTGGTTACTCTTCCAAATTAGACCATCTCTCTTCATATTTCACAGAATAATAATTCACTGAAAAACAACACTTGATACTTGATTATATAGAATTTCAGAGCCTGTGCAGAAATGTCTTAGCTTCTCTTTGATCCCTATTCAACCATTAGTAACAGTAACAGTAAGATATATTTGTGTGCAGCATTGCAGCTGAAGACTTTTCTCACACTTCACAGCCACCCCGAGATATCTCAGTTTTACTCCGAGATTACTGAGGCAGGTTAGCTGGACAGGAGTCACGCAAACAATAACTGATGAAATAGAGCCTTAACTAACTCCAGTGTTTAGGTCACTACATTTTACCTATAAAGGTCTTCTTTTAGGGAGAATTGTTCAGTCTTACAATTTTTAACCTCAGTAACTCTAGTTGTTATCATTATGCCTTGTACATAAAAGGCAATTATTAAAGAATAGTGGAAAGAAGGTAAGGAGAGAGGATGAAGAAAGGAAGGAATAAGGGAGGGAGAGAGAGGGAGGGAGGAAGGAAGGGAGGGAGTCCGTCAGTATGTGGGGTATGGGATTTGGAGAGTCAGAAATGGTGATCTTAGTCTCCAAAATCTTAGTCCTGATCTAAATTGCCAAGAGAGACCAGGTCAAGAGTGAAACACCCCAAAGTGCATTCTCTGGTAACAAGTTACTGCTTTACCATTATTTATACTTTCTTCCTTATAATGTAGTTGCAAACATCTAAGGAAAGTGTGTTCATGGCAAACATAAAAGAAATGAAGTTTTATTTTGCAATGCTCCTAATTGCTGTTCACTTAACACAGTGGTTCTCAACCTTCCTAATGCCACGACCCTTTAATACAGTTCCTCATGTTGTGGTGACCCCCAATTTCATTGTTACAAATTAAACATAATTAAAGCATAGTGATTAATCACAAAAACAATATGTAATTATATATGTGTTTTCCGATGGTCTTAGGCAACCCCTGTGAAAGGGAGGGAGGCAGGGTTTATTAAGGACTGAATAAGAGAGATCTACTTCACTTCCTTCTAGGGACAGCTATGAGGGTCTTCTTTTATATATTGAGATACATTCTATCTGCAAAACCTTTAGCTTCACCTCTAATAAATTCTTCTGAAAGCTCCCAGGAAGAATGGGGCTACCACAGCTTGGTTTAAGGGGCTGCTTTGTCTGTTTCATTAATTTCTGGCAGAATTACCAAATGGCCTGACTTCGCAATACAGCGTGTGTGAGTCAAAGAAAAAATTTCACTGCAAAATTAATAGATCTGTTTAGGACTGAGTGTCCACTTAGTTCAACTAAGGAGAATTAAAAAAATAAAATAAAATGGCAAAAATGTGAAGAGAGTACATAACACCATCCCCATCCAGTCTCTTCTGACAATTACAATGTACCCCTGTGTTAGTCTGTTGGTTCAGAACAGCTGTACCCAGTCAGGTCACCCTTTGCATCATCTGGGAGTTCTCTGATGCTTTACAATTCCATGATCATTTTTGTTCTCACTGCTATTAACCGATTAAAGGGCCAAGTACGATAGTCTGTGACCTTATGAGTTAGTTGCTACTTCATTGTCTTCAGGAATTATTTTACTATCGGATAGCCCACTGCTAGTTTCAACTAATGATCTATGAACTGTTCAGATGAATGTGTCATAACTTGGAGCTGCAGAATAGCATTAAAAGGATAATCATTTCAAGAGGAAATATTTCTAAAAGACTAAAAAAATAGGGATTATTTCTAGTATTAGCACACGTTTATTTATCTTGCCTATATGATAACACAAGATCAGAAAGTCCAAGGAAGAGGTATGGTGCATCTGTCTCTTGCTTGTATCACTGCTAACCTTTATTGTTAGTTTGCAACTTATATGGAGTGTCTGCTTTGGGGGGGATGTTGGTTTTGTTATTTTTAGCAAAAGCCTCAGGATTTGTTCTGAAAGAGCCTGATACAGTGTTCGCTGTGCAGTGTGGGTGAGGGGTAATCGGTAGAACCTGTCAGGGATTCAGACCGCTGGGGGCCACTTGAGGCTCTGAGTTCCTCTGCAGGGACGTGAGTGGTGACAGCACAGGGCAGGTGGTCCCTTCTGCACTGTCACCTGGGGCAGCAAGGATACCCTGCCCAATTTGTCATCCCATGCAATCCTGTCAGCAGTTGAAAGTCTTAAGCACAAAACCTTTAACACTGAAGGCAAAATTCCTCCTAATATTTTTTAAAAAGCAATTGCCATGAATGAAAATATTAACACACAGCACCTAAGTAAGCAGTTTTTGTCATTCACATATAATATTATGTTAAATTATGTTATGTGATGTATAGACATTTTGAATTTTACAGACCAAATGTTGCCAATGACATTCCCTCATCCTGATAAAGATGATAAAATATAGCTGATAAGGGAAGATTAAGATCCCGTCTCTCCTCACTCTTCCTGGTGCCTTTTGTTTGGCTTGTAGACCCGTGAAGGATACCTTGAAATGCATTTTGAAAAGAACTTTTCGTTTCAATAATAAAACAAAAAAAATGAACCATTTTTAATTATCCATACTAATAACTCAAAAGAACATGCTTCTTTGAAATCCCCAAATTTTCATTATCAAGCTTTTATTTGATTCATGAAATAATCTACTTGCCCAGATTATACCTGCTATTATTCTTTGAGTGCCAGTTTTGTGCCAGTTTCTTTACCTAGATTATTTATAATCTCTACAAATATTCAGTAAGAGAGCCATTGCCCCTGGTTTCTAAATGAGAAAATTGAGCACCTGGGTGGTTAAATGACTTGCTCAAGGACACGAAACTAGTAGAAGGTGGGATTTGGGCCAGATCTATCTGCAAAGTACAAGTCATTTCAGCTGTCCTTGCTGTGACCCCCAAAAGCCATGCTGAGAACAGTGAGATGGCCCAAAACCAGGCCTAATTTTAAAATGGGAGAGTAAGAGGCAGGAAACGTCTTGAGTGATTCAGAGGCTGATTAATCAGTGTTTCTATCAGGTAGAGTAAAAATCAAGCAGAGTCAGAGGAGAAGCTGTGTTAAAAGTCAAAACAAAATGTGGGCTTGTGAAGGAAATGCAAAAGAAAGGCAAAAGAAAATGGGAAAGTATATATCTAACACAACAGGTTAGATAAAAGTAAACAGTCAGCTGAATACCATGTGCAGATATCAAAATAAGGATAAGGAAGACAAGGATTAAAAGTCACAGAGAATGATCAGTGGACAAGAAAAGCATTTTGTCTATAGGTGGCCTTTTCTTTTTCTGAGAGTAAATGGAATCTTCGTTGGCTGGACATAGTTGTTTTGTTTTTTGTCCTGATACACATTATGTACATTAGAATGCTTTGAGTTGAGACTGAATATTGCCTGTGTGTTCCCAGTGATGTGAGGAGACGCTCTCACATCTCATTGTAAATGCCCTTCGAGTGTCAGGACTGAGAACTTTGGCTTCATTTAATCCATGCACCTAACTGTGGATGCATCACTGTGAAGTTTGATAAGTAAATATCAACCTTATTACATGAAGATATTAAAAACCAGAATTAAGACTAATTTCTACTCATGATTCAAAATGGGTGAATATTATTGTGCTTAGTCTACATATTTAGCAATATTAGACTGTCTTTCCATTTCCTCCAAAGTATGATGGCAGTTTGACATTTCAAAAAATATTCTGATGAGAAATTAGAATAGAGTGAAAATTTTGAAAATAATGCCCCCCAATCTATAGAATATATATATTCAGTCAGGATATAATTTTTCATAAGGAACAAATAAGCCACCTTGTATTTTTTTGCTATATATTATATCTAAAAAAATATGGTCAAAATGCATATAAAACATAATTTTTAAAATAAATAATTTTATCAATTAGTTGCCATTTAAAATTGAGATCTAAATTGAGTTGCACTGACATGACTTCATATCATTATCTTTGAGCCTTCCTGGAAAATGCATTTTACTTAAAGACAATAGATCTGCTCTTTTTCAACTTCCTTAGAAGATAAACTACTGGTTATAAAAAATCTTGAGCCCTTTTCCTATTACTGTAATTAAATTAACTAATAATAGTTACCCTTTCATAATTGTACTAGAGGCCCAGTGCACAAATTCGTGTACAGGTGGGCTCCCTCGGCTATCGGGCCAATTGGGCTGTCTCGTCCAGTCTCAGGGGAGGGACCGTAGGAGGTTGGCTGGCTGTGGGAGGTTGGCTGTGGGAGTGCACTGACCACCGGGGTGGCAGCTACTGCATTGAGCATCTTCCCCCTGGCAGTCAGTGCACGTCATAGCAACCAGTCGACCTATTGTAATGGTTACTTAGGCTTTTATATAGAGAGATCTGTTTAACTACACCCAGAAAGTATTTAACTTCTTTGCTGTTGTTTATTAAGCCTGAAAGTTTAGTGGAGTCTGTTGCACCTTCTTTGACCTCTTCCTCTTAAGAAATTTAAGATTAAATGATGCCTAGAAAGGGGGAAGAGAGCTCTAAACCTTTCCCCTTCTTTATCTTCCATCCAGCTACATCTACATCTACCACCGGAACAAGCCATCTTGTGAAATGTGCAGAGAAGGAGAAAACTTTCTGTGTGAATGGAGGCGAGTGCTTCATGGTGAAAGACCTTTCAAACCCCTCAAGATACTTGTGCAAGTAAGGAAAGAAATCCTCTCTGTGGCTTATGTCCATAACTGCTTCTTTCAGATGACTCTGTGTCTCATGATGTACTGTTGCTTCTTTTTCCAATTTCATTGCATCCTGTTGAATAATGCTTTTTATTTGTTTTCAAAAGTTCACACCATTTGTCATCTCTGTTATATTCAGAATTGTGCTTTTTTATTTTTGTGATTGTTTTTCCTTTTTGCCTTCATGTTTATAAAGTTGCTTTCTTTATGGTTTTCATCATTGTTACCTAGAAGAGATGTGCAAATATCATAGAGGCCTCTAACTATGGGTACCTACTTCTCCATCCAATGTGTGAATTAAGCTGAAAGATAATGTTGTTTTTTACCCCAGTGATCACCAGCAAAATGAATAGGATAACTAAAAGATACAGAAGTACAGAAGATTTTTTACAAACACAGCTCTTATAGTAACTTGATAGTAACTTACTGTTTCATAACTATTTTTCTAAGTGGAATTTAGATTGATCTCACTAATTATTAAAAAAAACTGTATATGTTTGGAAATGGATTTAGTGTTGTAGCAGCATTGTGTAAAGAGGGCAGAATGTTATTTTATGCACTGTAGTTCTTTATAGATATATTTATAATAGCACTCTGTCCTATCACCTGAAGGAGTTGATGCACCATTCAGAAGTCAAAGTTATTCTCTCTCAATAGGCAGACTAAAACAATAATATTATCAGTACATTAAATATTTAAACCTTGTAGTTAATATTAACAGGTCTCATTAAAAAGCATGTGTTTATTGTGCCATGCACTTAAGTTAAACTCTTGATATTTAGGCCACATGTTGTACATACAGGGAAGTTTACTCCTGCACTGAAATGATGACCAATAGTGAAGTCCTACTGTTATAAAGTAGCACTGCTTGTCCTACATGAGAAAAAAACATGCCATCATAAACATTGACTTCTGCTCCAGAATATTAGCTTGTGACTTAAGTGTTGACAAAGAAGAGCGAGTTTGTTAAAGAGCTAATAGAGTAATTAGCAAAATGGCACACACAAAAAAAGCGCACATGAAATTATTAAGGCCAATCTCAAACATCATGTAAGTAGTATACAGATATTTATGTGCCAGTTCAAAAAAAAACCTTCATTGCTTGTAAGTAATAAAGTACATCTCAAAAGACACATGTTTTATAGTCATAACACCGGACAAAAATGTGACTTTGTAGGAAATGGTTCACTGTTCCCTGTGCTGTTGTAGACGTGGGCTGTCTGCAGAGTGTCTCATGTAACCTCATGAACAGGTACTTCCCAGAGCTGCTTTTTCCCCTCAAAATCTTTTAAGTGTAGAAGCAGTTCTAGGAGAAGACAAGTTGTGTTGGTTGTATAGCTGATTTTATCCTTCAGACAAGTTATAAAAGTCAAAATCATCTGTTGGAGTGAATAAAAGAGTAGGAATCACCTCAATTGTTAAACATCTCTTTGATAGAGATAGGTAATGATGATAAGCCAAAATAAATAGATAAAAGTCTTTTCAAAAATTGAAAGCAAGATAAAAATGGAAGAATGTGTAGAAAAATATATTTCAGGTTTGAATGATTTCACATGACTATCAGTGTTTATTATTTTAAAATTAATCTTAGAGTGTTACTTTTTGATCAGTATATTCAAATCTATATACCTAGAGCAAAGAATTAAAATGGTTCAGTTTTAGTCTTTGGTTCTGACGACTTGGTGTAAATACAACACAAGCATGGCTCTCTTGGACTTATCACAGTGAGTCAGGAGGCATAAATTTTATAGTTTTCTTTAAGGTTTTCTCAGATCAAAATAAAGAATACCAGAAGCTGAGAATTATAATCTATAAAATACGAGGACTATTTATTATATGGGGACATCTTGTTATTCTGTACTAATCTCAGGCATACAATCCAATCATATTTTAATAAATCTCCTTGAAAAACATTTAAATTATAGTTTCTTAAGTTCTTCTCCTTTTTAAAGAAAGTGCTCATATTATCTATGTCTCATATTTTTACTTCTTTAGAAAAACATCTGAGACCACTATATTTTAATTATAATAAAGAAACATGATCATTTTTCATCAGAGCCTTTGCAAAGATTTATAAGCTGAGCGAGTACATGTGATTGTTTCCAAATACCTCTAAGGAACCAGTGCAGCTATTTTCCACATATTAATTTCAGCGATTCTGCAGCCCTCCCACGTGCTATACAAAACATGCAATCACAGAAGTGTGGTTCGTTTGTTCCACTTTGGTATTGTGCCAACAACTGCAATTTTTTTCACCTATAGTTTTTCACCTATAAATTTTAAGCCCAATCCAGAAAAAAAAATCCCGAAACAAATGCTTGTTATTTCTGTAGTAATTATTAAAGCAGCAAACCATGACTGAACACCCTGTATTCCCGAAACTCATTGTCTAGTGGGTTATGTTATTTACTAGTTCTCAGCAAATTGGCTTCATAATTTGATTTTGATTTTTTTTGTAATTAGAAGGTCTCGGAAAAGTGTTAAAGCTTATTACTGGATCTTGTTGGGACGAAACTTTTTGATGCTTATGATTTTGATAAGCACCCCCCCTCTTTGGACCATGTGTTTACTGATGCATCAAAGCAAGACAGTACCTTAAGTGAGGTATTGGGATATAGTTAACACCCAAAATATTTCAGGCCTTTTTGTTAAATCAAAGTGTGTCTTTGAAATTTTATAGCATTAAAAATAATCACAACTCAGAATTGAAAACCAGGACACATAAGATACCATGTCTGAGGATAATCTGTTGTAAACTAGACCACTTGGCTAGAAGCAGAAAACATGGAAATGTTGCTTTGGCTCATCACAGTTTTGAACGTGCAGCCAGTTCATAGTTTTCATATGGACCATCTGTCTATAGCAAAACATTGCTGAAGCATGAGCTACGTCATTGAAAACCAGCTTTACTCCTGCCTGAAGCCATGACTCAGAAGCACCACAGGCAGGGGCGTTTCCAAATGGTCTCTCTGGTCACCTAATCCACGGTTGTCTTCTTGGGCGTTGAAGCTGAAGACTTTACAGCAAATCCCTTTTGTCTCTCCAGTTAGCACAGGGTGTCCCCAATGGATTCCCCATAAAACAGTTAAACACTTCTCTGAGGGGAGGTTTGCTGGTTACTTGGCTTTGCCCCTGGGGACTGTGGAAATTTAAGTGGTCATTTTCATCTTTTATATTTCTCTTCCCTCTCTAGTAATTTAAAATTTATCCTGAGGAAAAAATAGTAACTATTATATGAAGATGAGAAAAGAAATGTTTCATCTTTTACCCTCTGATGCCCTATGTAGGCATATGGTTCAAAGAAATAAGACAGTTGACCATGACATTGCCCAATTTTTCTCCAACTACCCGCCCTCCCCCACCACCTCATTCTTGTATGTCTGTTTTTCCAAACAGTTTTAGTAGAGAACTATTTTGGAATATGCTGATGTGATTTTTTTTTTTAAATCTAGAAATGATTTCATACCAGACCACATTTATAAACCCATTATGTTGTCCCATGGACAGATGCGGCTTCCCCATGAGGGGACTAGAGTTTTTACTACCAATTTTGGTAAACAGTCGTGAGCCCTTTCACTTCAAGTCCCTGGACAGTATCTTAATTCATAACATAGAGCTAATATGTTCTCCAAATTTCTTCCCAGGAAGTTAGTGAAATTAAATGAATTCATTTCTGCTAAAGTACTTCTAACTCTGGCAAAAGCATGATTTTTTTCCCTTAAAATAAAATGTACATGGTAGTATTACATTCTCACTGTAGACATTGGAAAAATATAAACACCTGCCTTAACAGACTGTATTATCATATTTAATCCCCAATTCCTCATCTTACTTAACACTAGCAGCTTTTATTTGGTTCGGCAGGGCCACCAGCTAGCTTTATGGCTTTGCATTGGACAGATCCTGCAAAGCTCTGTTCATTATATTTCTTTTATGCAAAAAAAAAAAACCCAAAAAACAACAAGCCTTGGGAAGATGGGAGGTGCCTTCAAACATGCATGAGCTTATGATGTTTTATAGTTAGTTTTTATGAAACTATGTAGTATATATAATGGCCTATGTTGTATGATTATAGGAGACAATTATGAAAAATATATAACTGTAGATTTTAGGTCACAACAAATGTTAAATTAAACTCAATAAATGAAATATTAATTAACATCTGTTTATAGAACAGCTACATCTATGCATGGTCTCTTTCCCAGAGGACTTAGTCTGTTTAGGAAAATTAAGTAGCAGAAATAGTGAATCAATTAGAGTGAATACATCACAAGTGGAACTGTGCTGATTATTATGGTAAAGAGAATTTAAAGAAGGAACAGAAACGATTGGAATAAGGTGGAGAAGACTAGAAACATGGCCAGTACTTATGGAGTCTTTTTTCTATAGCAGACAGGCACCGAGGTTGCAGTAATGGTTTCTGTGAGAGCCGGTGGCATGCACATCTAATCCAGCTTTATTCTGAGAAGTAAAACAAAACACTGAGTTAGACATTGAGCCAGTTTCTGAGCCCCAGAGGCCAGGCGGAAGATTTTGGACACTGAGAGCTAATAGGGAGTCCTAGCATGTTCTGGAGCAGGACGGGGACACCATAAACACAGCAGATGTTTAGAGGAGACTTCCACACAGGCTAGAGAAAGTCGAGGACTAAGTAAAATGGGGAGAGAAAGTAAAAAACACTAGCTAAGGTTCAAGTTTCATAAAATCCTGGCATCATATTGATTAAAAGTATAATACTTATTAGCAGCTAGATTAGCATAATGAAAGGGACATAGATTAGCATAATGAAAGGGACATGGTGATTCAAATTCATAATTGTGTCCTGCAGCCCAGTTATCTTGGCAGTAGAAAGAGAAATGTGGACTAGACACAAGGGATATATATTGAGTTAGAACTTGTCCTTAAGAACAGACTGCTAATTGTGCTCTAACTCCAGCCCTGGAAGAGTTCATTCTTGAGAATGAGTGT